TTTTTACATGAAAATTATAATTATAATTTTTTTTACATGAAAATTATAATTATAATTTTTTTTACATGAAAATTATAATTATAATTTTTTTTACATGAAAATTATAATCATAATTTTTTTTACATGAAAATTATAATTATAATTTTTTTTTACATGAAAATTATAATTATAATTTTTTTTTGCATGAAAATTATAATTATAATTTTTTTTTACATGAAAATTATAATTATAATTTTTTTTTACATGAAAATTATAATTATATTTTTTTTCAAGTTCTCCTCAAGTTTTAAATTGAAATTAAGCCTGGATAAAAGTAAAGTTCGACCAAGTCTCAAATACTTCAACTGACTTCCAAAGAAGTAAAAATTTCCCACCGAATTAATACTTTCATTGGGCCTCAAAGTCCCAATTGCCATTGAGTATATTCTTTAAAAAATTACCCAAAATATCCACAAAGTGTCAAAAAAAATCAAATCACCGCCAAGATCCGTAAACGCCCCTAAAATATCCAAAAAAAAAAACCTAAAATGGCGATGATCCACCCGCCACAAATTAGAAACCAATCCCGAAGCAATAGTCCCCGAAAATAAAAATCAGGTCAATCCCCGAGTGCCAGTCAATTCCCCTTGACAATCACCAGAGGCACCAGATCCCTTCGAAATCCAACGTCATCCCCGGGGGTATTCAAACCCAAGATATTGACGTACCCCGACACCGTGTCAAAGCGCATAGAAAAATAAATCTGAAAAAGTGAGGTCACTCATACACCCGATGTAGACACAGCACAATAGTACCCCGTATCACTTATTCGTGGTTCGCATTTCCCGGTGTACAAAAGAGACAAGGGTGTGGGTGGGGAGGTCGGAGGGGTCGGATATCCCGGGACCCATCACCGGTGCAAACACTCGCTCTTCGCTGAGATTGCGCGGCCGCGACCCTATTTATTATTCACTAACTCGGCCCGTAGTCGAGCGTCAGTCGTGCATCCACGCCCCCCAGCATCCCAGCATCCCAGCATCCCACTGGCTCCAGTTGCCCATCAGTCGCATCTGCACAACGCGAATATTCCTGACCCCTCACCACACCAACCCCTCCCCACCCCACCACCTCTCTCAACCCCTCTTGACCCACCCCCTCCCCCCTGCCCCATGGTCTAACCATTGCCCGCTGTAACGAGGCAAACCTAATTAACCCGAGTCCTAATGGTGTTGGTTACAGTGGTATCAACAGCGTATCGAACAGCCTCGCAGCATCGCCAACAGCAACCGGAAGGTCACCCAACACGGAATCCAACCAGGACGGGGCTGCGGCCTTCCACCGGGTCCTCTGCGCTGATACATTTGTCGAGAAAGAGCGGAGATTGTCGGAAATGATTCTGCAGTTGCAGTTTCTTAGGGAGCAGCTGGTACAGCAGCAGGACCAGATCAAGGTGAGTCTCTGATATAAATGGTCGTGAGGGGAGGGGG